TTCTCACACCCTAAGCTATAGAAAAGGGTAGAGCACAAAAGCCACCAGATACACTTGGAGCCAGCCAAGTCTGGACACTCACAGATGCCACAAAAAAGCTCAGACATGGATTTATAGCAGAGGACCATTTGCTTTCATGCTCTTTTTTCTTTCTTTCTTTCTTTTTTTTTTCTAATTGTATTTCAGGTCTTCGCGAAATAAGGCTCTAGGGCTATCTGGGTTCAGTCTGGCTCTTTGCTTGAGCCACAGCTGCATGAGTGCTGGGGAGCCTTATTTGCATGGTTTTGCCATCTATTCCTGAACATTAAATCCTGAAACAGAATACACCAAAGCAGGACTCCTTCCTTCACAGCATGCTCGGGTTTCGGAGGAGGAAGTCAACATGGAAAACAATGGAATGTTCCCTTGGAACTGGAGTGTGACAAGAGATGCCTGTCAGGATCACAACCTCCTGTCTTCCTAAGGACCCCTCACTTGCAGTTTCAGCTGCTAAACCAGAAAGGAACCTCTAAAAATACTTGGTAACAGCTCCAAACACCATATGCTACTACAATGTACTGTGCTTTCAGCCTTCTGGGACTACTTCAACATCTCTACTAACTGCTTGGTGTAGTCACCTTCACAACCAGCTGATGACACCTGTCTGTGGAAATGCAGTGTTTTCTGGGTAGCACAGCCTACCATCAGAGGAGGAGAAAACTGTGGCAAATCCGGAACTCCTGGAAATCCAGCACCAGCAGAAATCTCATGAATGGGGTCTTCTGAGTAAATATTGCCAAATCTCCCTGGTGCCTCTCTGTCCCTGTGAGAGGGACAACCTTTTTCACCTTTGTCATGTTATCAGTGCATGGACGGAGTTCAGATTCAGAACTCTAAGAGTCACTACAGGCTTTTGCTACAGTGCATTTTTTTATGCTCTGGGAGAGGAGTGACTTTGGCAGAGGCCAGGCAGGTTCTTCAGGTGAGATTCCACAGCATTCTCTACTGATGGCCAGCATAAGGGGTCACTAGCCACTGCTACTTGTCTGGTCCACCCCAGACTCCAACAGAACTGGTTCCCATTGCTCATGCCTGACCCCTTTCTCTTTCATCCATTCTTTCTTTGCCAGAAGCACCTTCTTTGCATGGAAAGCCAATGGCTTGATAAGCCTTCCTCCATTTTCAGATTTTCCCAGAGCCAAAGGGATCTTTCTCCTCTGCCCTTGCTACACTATCTGTCCAGTGTTGCCTCAATGAGCTTTTGTCAATACTGTCTTGGCTCAGCAGAAATTGTTGATTTTCTTTGCTTTTTCTTTGAGTTACTTGAGACAGGATCTCATGAGGCCCAGGGTAGCTTTGAACTCCCCATGAAGCAGAGGATGACCTTGAATGCCTGATCTTCCTGCCTCCACTAGACCTACCAGGAATGATGGTGTGTTTCTATAATTTCAGAATGTGGGAGGTAGAAGAGGATTAGGAGTTGAAAGCCAGTCTCGACTACATAGAGAAAATTCCAGACCAACCTGGACTATAGGAGAGCCTATCTCAAATGAATAATAAAAAAAAAAAACAGCTCACTTTACAATTTACTTATTTATTTTTGGGACAGTGTCTCACTTTGTAGCTCAGGATGACCTAGAACTTACTATGTAGCCCAAGTTGGTCCCAGAATCATGGCAATTCTTCCACCTCTGCCTACCGAGTACTAGATTTACAGGTTTAAGCCATCACACCTGGCTTGATGTTAAATTTAGAGTTGTATGAGGTTTTTAAAAAAAATGTGTAGCATGTTAGTATGTCTAATAAGCAATTGTTCAGTAATCTTTTTTTTGTTTGTGGTTGGGACTGATTGTAGTTTAATAGTAGGTAATTTGACTAATATGTTCAGGATCCTATATTCCATTCCCAACACCACAATAATCTAAACAGAAAAAACTAGTGTAAAGAATAATTAAATGGGACTAGAGAGATGGCTCAATGTTTAAGAGTACTCTTAGGTACTCTTCCAGAGGCCCTGAATTCAACTCCCAGCAACCACATGGTGGCTCACAACCATCTATAACTGGATCTGGTTCTCTCTTCTGGTGTGTATATACATAAAATGAATAAATATTTTTTAAAAGAATAATTAAGTATAGTGGGTTGGAACAGTGAAGATTTACCAGTAAACTCAAAAGGATTTTGGAAGAAATAGAGGGAGAAAGGGCACAGTATTTTCGGAAGAGCACTCCTCCCTCTCCCCACTTCTAGCCCTAGCAAGTCTGAGCCTAGGTCTCGCTGGGGAAGGCATTGGCCCTGATTCCCTGACTGGAAGATCAGTCCCCGTGGTACTACCCTGGGGGGACTTGCTGAAGACCTTGTGCAGTTGGCTGTCAGAACAAATTGATTTCTTGGCAGCCTAAGGAAACAGCAGTTTAGCTAGTATGGTGGCTCATATGTATAGTCTTGGTACCAAAGCCAGCCTAGGCTACATGAAACTTTGTTGCAAAACCCCTTGGCAGTTTACTTTCTTCCAGTGTAGAAGCAGAAATCCACAACCAGGGATCAGCAGCAGGCCCTCCTTCCCCTGAAGGGTTCAGCAGGGAACAGACCTTGTTTCTTCCACTTTCTGGGGCTCCAAGTGTTCCTGTGGCTACATGACCTATTTGCCTCCATCTTCACATGACTCTTCTCTCTCTCTCTCTCCTCTTTTTCATTCCCTTGATATATTCCAAAATATACCATGAACATGGTCTTAATCCCATGTGGTTCATAGCTGTACTCTGTAGCTGCTAGCAATTTTAGAGAATTAAAGTGCCTTATGTGGCTTTGGAAATATACAATATATTTTGCTCTTTTGAGTCCAGCACCACTTGTGGATGACACTATCATTTTCCCAGCCATCAGCCACTGTGAAATATGCACATGGTGGATGACTGTGTAAGTCTGTTGCTTGATTTGGTTAGACTAATCACTCGTTTATCTGTCCATAAATATAGTACTGATGTCACCAATATGTTGTACTGGCCTATAATCCTAGTGGTTGGGAGGCAGAGGCAGAAGGATGTCAGGTTGAAGACCGTAGTGGGCTACAATGTAAGACCCTACCAAAACAAACACAAGCCACACAAGCCAGGCCTATATTCCCAGCTACCTGCAGGACTGCAAGCACAGGCTTGCTTCAATTTCAGAACAAGTTCAAGACCAGCCTGTGAACTTAGTGAAACCCTGTCTCAAAATTGACTCTCAGGGCTATTTCCACCTGAGAGCCGCCCCAAGTAATTACACAGAGACTTTTTTTATTAATAAGCTTGGCCTTATCTGAGGCTTGTTCCCATCCAGCTTGTGTAACTTAACCTGTTTATACTCATCTCCATTCTGCCACATGGCTTGTTACAGCTTTTCAGTCTTGGCACCTCTTTCTTCCTCTGAGTCTGGCTAGGGAATCTCCAGTGCCCAATTCTTCCCCAGCATTCCTATCTCTGCTATCCTCTCCCACCTTGCTATAGGCCAGTCAGCTCTTTATTAAACCTATTATTAAAAGATGGTGGAGAAGAATACAATACTCTGAGACAGGTGATGCATCATAAAAATAACAATACCAAAGTCTGGCCTATACCCAGATCTCTGCTGGTACAGAAATCAGCTTTTGAATAATAAAAAAGCAACCTTTATAAACACAGTGTGCAAGGAGATTATCCCAACGAAAATGTAAAAACAATTAACCTTTATTTTTATGTGTCTGAAATTTGCAGGCATGCATGTGCACCAAGTGTGTGCCTGGTGCCCACAGAGACCAGAAGGGCATCAATCAGATCCCCCGCGACTAAAATGGCAGCCACACAAGTGCTGGAAATAGAACAGCAGTCTTCTGAGAGAGTAGCCAGTGCGTTGAGCCAATGAGCCATCTCTCCAGCCCAAATTGAAAACAAAACAAAACAAAACAAAAAACTAAATAGCTGGGGCTACAGCTCAGTAAGGGAGTGCTTGCCTAACAGATGCAGGGCCCTGAGTTCATTGACAAGTGGAAGAAATAGCATCTCAAGTTCGAAGTTGGGCTGGTTTTTGAAACCATTTCAAAACAAAACCAACCAACCAGCCAGCCAAAAAATCCAAGCCCAAACAGCCAAACCCAAAGATGTTCTTTGATGATACAAATGTTCTTCTTGTGCTTTTTGCCACACAGCAGCTACCAGCCATGTGGGGCTCCTGAGCAAAAAGGCAAACAGGCACCGAGAAATGGAACTGCTGTATTTAGGGGTTTTGCTCTGTGCGCCCAGTGCTGTGGATGTAACAGGGGTTTCGCTGAATTCCCAATCCCAGAACTGAGTTGACTGTAGATAAAACTTTAAATTCAATATTGGACAAAACAGTACATGCTTCTCTACCTTTTCACAGCTCGTCACTTGATTTTGGTCAAAAGGCCCAGAAGCATTTTTCACATCTCTTATTATCAGATGGTAAGATTTTTGAGCACATGAGTTCACCAACATTGAGTTATCTTAAATCTGAGGCAAAACGATTTCCAGAGCCAGGAGCTTGTTTCATAAAAGGGGACTTAACATGTGCTTTGAACAGACAACACTAACTTCGGAACTGTGAGTAGTATTCCGAACAAGACAGGCCTTCCTTTTCCCTATAGTGCTTTGTTTGGCACAAAACTTGTTGGGACTTGACATCACGGTTATGAAATGTGTTCCAAAGTTGAACACAGCCCATTAGACTCACTTAGATGGTATTTAAAGAAAACTTAGATAAATACTGCAGTTTAAAAAAAAAAACACACACACAAAACTTGAAGACTAAGGAGAAAAGGAGAACTGGAACAGCGGATGGAAGACGGAGCTGGCCAGAGACTTCAGGCACGTTCTCACCTCCGGGGCCGGACAATGATTGACCTAGCTCGAGAGAGGTGCCCGGCCCCGCCCCTCCCACCTGGGCACTCTCGGGACTACGCCCCCCGGCGCCCGCCCCGCCTCCACGACGGCCAACCCACGCGGCGCGGAGGCGGCGCGCTGACGTCCGACGCTCCAGGTACTTTCCCCAAGGCCGGCTTGGCTTAACGTGGGGGCGGGGCGGGGAGCGGAAGCGCGCATGCGCCACAGCGCCAGCGCTCTCCCCGGATAGAGCGGGGCCCGAGCCCGTCCGCTGTGGTGGTTCCGCTCGCGCTCCCGCGCCGCCATGTCGGCCACCATCGAACGGGAGTTCGAGGAACTGGATGCTCAGTCTCGCTGGCAGGTGTTATACTCGGTGAGTCTGAGGCCCGCGCGGCGTCCCCGTCTTCCGAGGACCCGAGCTCGCGCCTGCCGGCTCCGCGTCGCCTCCCGTTCGGGCGGAAGTGGCGAGCGCGGGCCGCGTCAGGGGCGCGCCTGCGCGGAGCGCCCGCACCGCTTTGCGAGGCTTTAGACGGGAAGCGTCGAGGTGGCTTCAGGCTGTTGGTTCTGACGGCGGCGCCACAGCGGCGCCTGCTGGCTGCGCGGCCGGTCCCGGCGTGTGGTGCTCTGGGTGGAGGGTCGAGGGGCACCGGGCGCGGGTGAAACGGCCTCCGGCTTCCTCGCCGACAGCGTTCTTGTCGGCCGATGTTCGCTGGCGGGGCGCCCTGGGAGCGGGTGCCGCGGAAAGGGCGAGAGAGCCCTCTGATCGGGGCCAGCCAAGCGGGGTCTTGCGGGGTCTCGGTCACTTGCGACCGAGGACCCGGGACCTTGTGGCGGTAGCAGAAGTGGCAGCGATAGCTCCCGAGGGATCGGGGATCATCAGTCTTTTCATGGGCTACTTGCTCTGGGAGAGCGGGTTATCGTCAGCTAGAGCTTCCCGGAACAACAGAGGCGTTGCTTGCGTTCTCAGCGATTAAACTATCGTCCTCTTTAAAATCTCCTTTGCTTAGGCATGCTTTATGTGTGTATGTATGTATATATAGTACACCACGGATCTTTATGTGAGCTTTGCTTTTGGGCGCATTTCCCAAGTGAGTGCAGCGGTGGTAGCAGAACTCGAAGTAACCAACCATTCCTTTGGCCCCAAAAGGCCACATGTCCATAGGCGGCCGCTGTTCTCTGTCGCCAGAGAATAATCTTATCCATTCAGCTCATACTAAAGTAATCTGTACTACGAACGCTTGTGACTGCACTTTTTACAGCTCGAGGGCTACGTTTTAATCCAGGCAAAACTTTCTCCTCTTACAAATGATTTCATTACTAATCATTAACGCATTCTATCGCATTTAGTGATTGGTAAATTGTTAAATGTATCTCCTTATGTTTCGGCTCATTCCAACGGTACAAAAAGAAGCTAGAAAGACACCTTTTAGCTCTGGATGATTCTGGGTTTTTCGCTGTTCCATTTAATTGGATGACCGTAGAATTCCTTTCTTTTGTTTTGTTTTTCCAGACAGTGTTTCTCTGTAGTACTGGCTGTCCTGGACTCACTTCGTAGACCAGGCTGGCCTCAAACTCACAGAGATCCACCTGCCTCTGCCTCCCGAGCGCTGGGATTAAAGGCGTGTTCAATCGACACTTTTTTTTTTTTTTTTCGGGCAGGAGGAGGGCAGTACAATTTCTTTGGTCGTTTTGTTAAGGACTTATTTCTTCTTCCATCCGTCATTCTTTGAGACAGGGTCTCAGTTTGTAACTTTGGCTAGCTTGGGACTTGCTTTGTAGTCCAGCCTGACCTTGAACTCAGAAATCCTCCTGTCCTGCTTCCTGAGTGCTGGGACTAAAGTCATACATCACCATGCCTGGCACAGATCTCTGAGTTTTAAGCCAGACTGGTCTACATAGTTTCAGGTCAGCTGGGGCTACATAGTAAGACCAAGTATAAAAAAACAAAAAGGTGGAAGAGGGGCTGGAGAGATGGCTCATTGGTTAAGAGGGCTGGTTCTTCCAGAATGGCTTGATTGAGCCCTAGCACCCACAAGTAGCTCACAACTGTTTCTAGCTCTTGTTCCTGGGAATTGGAAGCCCTCTTCTGGTTTTCAGGGACACCAGTTATGCACATGGACATGGTGGACATGGAGACAAAATGCCCACACACTTAGGGGAAAAAGTAAAATAATAAAGAGTTAATACAGCAACTTAATTTAGCTCTATCTATCTATCTATCTATCTATCTATCTATCTATCTATCTATCTATCTATATCTAATCTATCTGTTTATCTATTTACTTTCTTACATATTTATTGAAACAAGGTCTTCCTTAGTAGCACAAACTGGCCTTCAACTTACTATAGAGCCCTACTAGGTTTGGATTTGTGGCAGTCCTGTCTCAGTACCCAGCTGCTAGGATTACAGGTGTGAGCCACCACATTTGGCTTAACTGGGTATATACATGCATGTCATGAATGTCTGTGAGGTGCCACTGAAAGTTCTGATATCCCTCTTAACAGAAAAGAGGCACTTATACTGGGTGTGGTGGCACAGCCTGTAACCTATCCATTAGGAGACTGACACGGGAGAATTGTTGAGTTTAAGAGGAGCGTGTAGCTGGGCATTGGTGGCCAAAGCCTGAAGAGGCAGTTGGATCTTTGAGTTAAGCCAGCCTGGGTTACAGAGTGAGTTCTAGGCAACCCAGGACTACAGAGTGAGATCTTGTGTTGGAAAAAAAAAAAAATCTAAGTAAATAAAAGCCGGTCATAGTGGCACATTCTTCAGTTCTAGCATTTGGGGAGTGGAGTCTGAAAGGGTTTGGAGTTCAAGGTCATTTCTAGTCACCTGTGGAATTCTAGGCCAGCTTGGGGTAATTGAGACTGTGTCAAAACAAACAAAAACATGTAGCAAGGTGGCTCTGTGAGTTAACTCATCTTTTGCCAAGCATGAAGACTTGAGTTCAGTCCCATGACTCCCATGGAAGGAGAGAACCATCTTTCTTTTAGGACTATTTAGTCCTCTGAGCGCCATATAAGTGCCTATTTATGTGTACCCACAGTAGCTAAGTTTATTAAAACAATTTTTAAAAAAAGTTGGAAGTTGGGAGATGGCTCATTTGCTAAAGTGTTTCTCATGAAAGCATGAGGACATATGCTTAGATCCCCACCATATACATAAAAAGCCAGGTGTGTATTTCAGTGCTGGGGAGGTAGAGACATGCTGATCCCTGGAGCTCACTGGCCAGCCAGCCAACCTCGATGAACCAGTGAGAGATCCAGGCTCAAAAAATAAGGTTTGGGGCTGGAGAGATGGCTTAGGGCTTAGGTTATTTTGCAGAGGACCCTAGTTCGAATCTCAGCATCTACATCAGGTACCCCAGAACTACCTGTAACTCTAGTGCCAGAGGATCTGACATCTTATGTCCTCTGTGGGGAATGCAATCCTCTCTCTCACACACACATACACAATTAAAAATAAAATCTTTAAAATAAATTGTAGGGCAAGTTGATTCAGAGCACTTGTTTCCTGCCAAGCCTGACAATCTTAAATTTGATTCTTGGTACTCACATGATGGAAAAAGATAACTGATTCCAGCATTTCGTTCTCTGACCTCCACATGCATGCATGGCCCCCATAAATAAATGTCAGAAAAAAATAAATACAGGCAAAAATGCATTTGTATTCACTGAAAATACCATAATTGATAGAAAGTTTAGGAAACCCTTCATAGACTAGTAACCAAGGTCTTTAAACAGAATAGGAGTTCTATGCTGTTACTTCCTTTTCCAATCCCAAGAATGTTAAAACCATGCTATGCACATTGGTGTTATAGTCAAAGCAAATGAGGAGGATTTTGAACTTAATGCTTCTTAGGATCCTAGAGCATCCATTTCACCACTCCAGAGAGAAGGCTGCTGACAAGATCTCTGCTTTCAAGGCACTAATTCTGAGTCTTGGAAGTTTGTGCTTCGCTCTCTTGTTAGCCTCTTGGTATAGTGGGTAGTGTATCATCTCATAATTTTAAGTCCTGGATTCTCATACTTGGCACTGAAGATAACTGTTTAAGGACAATAGTCTTTAGGATCCAACCTAGTGAGAAGTGGTAAATGGCTAAGCAAATAAAAACATGAAAGTGAGGGGTCCAGTAAGAGGGCTCAGCAAGGAAAAGTGCTAACCAAAGCTTGGCAGCCCAAGTACGATACTTGAAACCCATGTACAGGCATAAGGAGAAAACCGACTTGATGCTGTTTTCTGCCCACACACGTGCTGTGGCATATACACACAACAGTAATTTTTCATCTGTATGTGAAAGCAAGACCTGGTGTGTAGCTCAGTTGGTAGAGTGCTTGCTTGGCATGCATGAAGCCCTGGGTTCAAACCCCAGCAAAGTTAGGTGTAATGATGCATGCCTGGACTCTCAGCCCCCTGGAGTAGAAGTAGAGGGTTAGAAATTCACTATTGTCCTTGGGTGCATAATTTGGAGTTAACCTAGTCTACATAAGACTTGTCTTAAAAATAAGTGGGAGAGGGGCTGGAGATATGGCCAAGAGGTTAAGAGCACTGGCTGTTCTTCCTAAAGGTCCTGAGTGCAATTCCCAGTAACCACAACCATCTATATAATGAGATCTGGTGCCCTCTTCTGTCATTCATGCATACATGCAGACAGAACACTATACATAATAAATAAATAAATCTTAAAAACAAAACAAGAGAATAAGAGAATTGGAGGATGGGAAACAATATGATTAATATACATTGTCTATATGCATTCAATTGTGATGGAAAAGATAAAAAGTTTTTAAAACTTTGATTTTTAAAGTGCTTAGTACAAGTAAAGGGTGCTGTGTGAATAAGTATTTTTGGAACTGTTTTTCAAAAAGTACACCTAGAGTGAAGTTTCTTTCTTTTTTTTTCTATTTGTTTGTTAATGGTGTGCATGCATGGGTGGGTGTGGGTGTTGTGCCTGTATTTCTGTGCATTGTGTTTGTATCTAGTGTTCTAGGAGGCCAGAAGAGAGCATCAGATCTCCTAGAACTGTAGTTACGGATGGTTTTGAGTCACCATGTGGATGCTGGGAATCAAACCCAGGTTCTGTGGAAAAGCAGTCAGTGCTCTTAACTGATGAGCCATCTCTCCAACCCCAATAGTAAAGTTTCTTGAGAAGGGAGGGCCTAACAGTCTCAAAGGTCAAATGGTCCACTGAGAAAAGGTCAAGGGAGTGGAGGAAAATTAGTGTTCAGGGAAACATTCCAGAGTTGAAAGCCACAGTGTTGGCTGCTTCCTGCTTCGGCAGAGGTCCCAACAGTGTAGCCTGGGGCTGAGCCTGCTCTGAATTTGAAGTGTTGGAGAATAAGGCAGAGCCTATGAGGCTCTTGTAGATCAGAATT